AAAAAAATCAAGAAAAGGGCTTATAGGTATGACATCATTTGTTTACATCAAAATATTATCACAAATCTTAATTATGAAGAAAGAAGTAAAATACTCAAAAGATCTGTTCTCTTTCAGAGGCCCCAGAAATAAGTCAATGTCTCTCCAAGACAATCCTCAAAGGAAGTACAATAAAGAGTAGAAAATGACAAGATGACAAGACAAATGAATAAGACCGGTTGGTTCAATAGCAAATGAAGAGTACTAAATAGACAGCAATGGCTGTAAAATCAAAGGCATAAAAACTCAAGAAACAAAGAAGAAACAATCATTCATACAAAACACTAGTATTTACTGTATACTTCTTATGCTCCAAACACTGGAGACACAAGGAGATTAAAACAGATTCCTAGCCCTCAAAGAATTTACAGTCTATAGAAAGACAGGTGAGATAAGGATTGTGATTAAATGCTAAGATAAAGATACACAAAAGGCACCATGGGAACATGAGATATTTATTAAAGCCTTAAAAGATACCAGGAAGAATTCTAGAAGACAGTAACACTTAACACTAAATCCTGAGCTGAGAAAAAGGAAGAGATTCCATGTAGCCATTTGAGAAAATTCTTATAGCAAGACAAACTAACTAAAAGCAAAGTGAAAAGACTAGTAAGGAAAACAGGGAAACATCTTATTCACACTTCAAAGAAATAATCTCCCCAATTTTTAAAGACTTAGTTGGGGGTGGGGGGAAAGACCAGTAATTCAGTGAAAAATGGACAAAAGATGTCAACTGATAGTTCACAAAAAAAGAAACAGAAATGGCCCGTAATCATGTGAAAAGATGCTCACATTGGTAAGAGAAATGCAAATTTCTCAAAACTACATTGAGAAGCCAGTAATATCTTCACTTAGAAAATTTATAAAACCATACGCTTCTAATTTTGTATTCTTCCACATGGGTTAACCTTCAAGCATAAATGTTTACATTCTCCCACAGAATGGGAGAAAATAATTGCAAAGAATGCATCTAATAACGGACTATTATCCAAAATATATAGAAGACTCTTAAAACTCAACAATAAGAAAAACAACCCAATTAAAAAATAGGCAAAAGAACTGAACAGATACCTCACCAAGGAAGATATACAGATGGCAAGTAAGCCTATGAAAGGATATTCCTACATTTTATGACATCAGGGAATTACAAATTAAAATGAGATACTACTATACATATAGTAAAATGGCCCAAATCCAAAACACTAACAATATCAAATGCTGGAGAGGATAGAGAGCAACACAACTTCTCATTAACTGCTGGTGGGCATGCAAAATGATACAGCCACTTTGGAAGACAGGTTGGCAATTTCTTACAAAGCATACTCTTACATGATCCAGCAATCACACTCCTTGATAGTCACCCTAAGGATTTAAAAACTTAGGTTAACAAAAAAATCCATACATAGATGTTTACAGCATCTTTATTTATAATTGCTAAAACTTGGAAGCAACCAAAAATGTCCTTTAATAGGTAAATAAACTGTGGTACATACAGATAGTAGAATATTATTCAGCAATACAAAGGAATAAGCTATCAAGTCATATACAGACATGGAGGAAACTTAAACACATATTACTAAGGAAAAGAAACCTATCTGTGAAGGCTACATACCGATTCCAAATACATGTATGATCCCAAATACATAACCTTCTGGAAAAGGCAAAACTTTGGAGACAGTAAAAAGTTTAGTGGTTGCTGCAGATTAGGGGGCAGGGAGAGATAAATAAGGAGAGCATAGAATATTTTTAGGGCAGTAAATAAAGGTAGTATGTATGATGACCATTACTATTCTATACAATACTATGTGTCATTATGCATTTGTCAAAACCCATAGATTGTCATACAACACAAAAAGTAAACTCTAATTAAACCATAGACTTCAGATGATGTCAACGTAGGTTTATTAATGGTGATAAATGTACCACTGTGGTACCATTGTGGATAGTGGAGGAGACTGGCTGTGTGGAGATGGTGTATATGGGAACTCTCTGTACTTTCTGCTCAATTTTGCTATGAACCTAAAACCACTCTAAAAGATAGCTTATTAATTTTAAAAATGTTTATAATAAAACTCAAAATGTTTCATAAAAATTCTAAAGTTTGATTAACAGTCTGTTGGGAAAAAAAAGCATTCTCATATATTGATAATAGAAGTACAAAACAGAACAACCTTTATGGAGATGAAATGAAGCAATACCTAACAAAACATATGCATTTACCTTCTGGACCTAGAAATTCCATTTCCAGGAAATTACACCTAAGTACTGAAGGGTAACAGAATATGCTGCTTTGATACATGATTCTTTTGAGCTCAAGGACATTAAGAAGAAATAGATACAAGAAAAGCTCTCTGCCCTCCCCCCATATGCCTAAAAGTAGGACATAAATTTGTAAAGGTACCCACCTCTTCCCTCTGTACCAGGAAGGACAGAAGTTAATCACCAGATACAACTCTAAACCCCTATCAGCTCAGAGATGGCACCAGGAAAACCTACATAAGTACTAACTAACCCTTATCTTCCATTAGTCCACCCATCTATTTAACTTCCCACAATTTGTCACCCCAGAAACTCAGTCATTTTTGTTGTTACTTATCTAAAACTTTACTGTTCTTTTAAGATACTATGTAAGCCCATGTTCTATCAACCCTAAGTTACTCATCACTGAGTGCTCCCATATCTAAGAGTAATACATGTGTTAATAAACTTGTTTTGTTTTTCTCTTGTCAATCTGCCTTTTGTCTAGGCCCCAGCTGGAGAACCCAGGATGACAGAATACAAATACAAATACGTGTGTATATGTGTGTGCGTGTGTCAACATGTATATTTATATGTATTTGTAGCACTGTATATAATAAGACTGGAAGTATTCCAAGTATCCATCGACAAAGGATTCCATCTACACACTGGAATACTATGCTCTACAAAAAAAATAATAAGGAAACTACATACTGATATAGAAAGATCTCAAGGATATATGAGCAAAGAGTAAAAAATATCAAGTATGGAATACTATATGATTTGCTACTTTTTGTGTAAGAAGTAACAATAAGAACATATATTCGTACTTGCTTATATCTACATAAGAAAATCTGAAAAGATATACAAAGAAACTAATAAACATATGTAGGTGATGCAGGTAGAGGGGAAATACAGCAGTCAGATGTAAGAGCAAAACTTCACAATGTGCATTTGTATTACCTTGATCTTTGAACCACGTGAATATATTGTCTATTCCAAACAAAAAATAAAATTTAACTTTAAAAATTAAATAGAACATTAAAGAAAATAGTTAAAGCCATGTATTGAAACCAATGTTTTCATTTTAAAACTGACCTACTTTAATTTTTTTCTACATACTAACAACTCAAGACAAATAACTTTGGTTCTTTCAGAAGTTTAGTGCCATCAAATTACTGAGATACCTATTCTGAGAATGGATAACTGCTTCAGAAATACATTATTAAAGAAGCATAATAACACAGTTATACGTCCTGGGAATAGCATTAAATACAGGCTTCTCAGACAACAAATACACAAAACTCATAGCTTCTCTGTATGAATTTTTTTAATTACTTAGTTTTTCTCAATGGCTCATCAAAGTGAATAGCCTCAACCATTCCCCCAACCCCTAGTCTGCTAGAAAGTCAGATCAATAGCATACTGAGACATTTTACATCTAATGAAATTAGATGGCTGAATGCTCAAAACAAGAGTCAATGATAAGCAAGACT